AACTACCAGCACCCATGAAGCCCCTGCTGCTCAGCATATGTCCTAGTCTTCAGCTCTCCTGGCTTCAGCTCAAATACCTTTCATGTGTACAGAGTTTCACACTTTACAAGGGGTTTTCATATCCATAGCTCTGTTTGTGTTCCTCATGAATTTACCATCTCAGCACTCGTATAGATCATGTGTCTGATGATCTCAGGGAAATAGTGTCTGACTATAGGAGAATTTGCATATTTTGTGTATAAGTATTTTTTTTTTTTAATTTTACTTTTTGCTTGAGTATGTAATCTAGGTTCATTATAGAAAAATTAGAAAAGATAGGTAAGCTCAAACTAAGATAAATGAACCCAATCCCATCACCCTGGGAATACCACTAGAAACATGTGGTGGGTCAATCATTCTAGAGTTACTGACTTCTCTTTTTCTTTCATACACACACACACACACACACACATATATATATATATATATATTTATTTATTTATATTTATATTTATATATATACATATATATATCACTGTATGCTTCTGAAACATGCTTTTCTCATTTCATACAGATGTCTTTATATGTCAATGAATGTATATGTCCTTCATCATATTTAATGGATGCAAAGAATTCCACTGTACTAATGTGAAAGACTGTACTTTTAATATACTCTGGATGATTTGAGAATGGATTTGTTATTATAAAGTTCTTAATCGCTTGTTCCAAATAATTTGGGAATTCATCATAGAATTTGATATACAAATAATGAGGAGGAAGACTAAGCCAGAAATAGGAAATGTATAGATTTCACATTATATATTCTTTTCTTTCATCCATGGAAGGTCTTTTGGAAGGTCAAGCAGTCTCTCTGAGTCCAGTAACATGCCAAGGCTCCATTTGGAGAAAAATGGAGGGATACACTTGGAGCAAGTGTCAAGAGGTGGAAGCAGAATAATGATAATAATTTTAAGTGCTTTCCAGTCACAATATTCTTTCATCATGCAAAAAAAAAAAAAAAAAAACCCACTGCCGTTGAGCTGGATCCAACTCACAGCGACCTCTCCTTTCATTCCCAAGGCAGTATCACTACAGAAGTAGATTGCTCAACCTTCCTTCTGAGGAATGGCTGGTGGGTTTGAACTGCCAGCCTTCTGGTTAGCAGTCAAGTGCCTTTGGCACTATGCCATCAGAGCTCCTTTATAGCCTCATTATAAATTAGAAAAATTTAGAACTTTTCTCATAGTTCAGTCATTTGAATATAGAGTTCACAAACTGTGACATATCTATTTTTACTTAGTATTTTTTCTTTAAATCAACTCAGTTTTAAAACTCCAGTCCTTTTCTGCCGCAGTAATACAAGCCATAGGCTTGATGTGCTAGCTTATTTTTTTTCCTAATACATAAATAAACATTGTTAAAAGTTCACTCTCTCTCCCACTAACATGCCACATGCCACCAGTGTGAATAGACACCACACTTTGGAAACCTTTTGTAAAGGAAAGGAAGTTCCTGTAGCATGTGGAAACCAAACTGGCCTGGGAATCAAGAAACTTGGTTCAAGACCCTGTCCTGCTACTAACAGGAGTTTGACTTGGGGTATTTTACCCTCTGTGAGCCTGTATCATTTACAAAGCAGTGTCCTAACACCTGCCCTGTAACCACAGGATTGATGTGAAGAGCAAACAAAATATTGCTGAAACCCACTGGAAAACTAAGATGTCCTCAAAAACTCACAGCCATCGAGTCGTATCCAACTCATAGTGACTCTTCCTTGGGTTTCCGAGATGGTACCTCTACAGAAGTAGATTGCCCAGTCTTCCTTCTGAGGAGTGGCTGGTGGGTTAAGATGTCCTAGACAAGTCTAAGGTCTTATAATAGATGATAACAAAACAATATTATTGTGCTTTATCCAGGCATATTCATTCAGTATCTACTCATTTTAAAGCTCTGTTTCCAAATACAGAGATGAGTCACATAGGGGCCAATACATTCCTACAACAATGCCATAGGCAGGGTAGAGGCAATAATGCTAGAGATTAGTGAGCAGAACACTGGCTGCATGTTCAAATCACCTGGAGAATTTTTTTTAAACTATTGATGCCCGGATCCTCCCCCAGAGCAGTATTGGCTTCAAGAGTGTACAATCTGTGTACATCTAGCAGGCCCTACACTTGGTTTAACGCTCTGCTTGCCATTATCTTGAAATTCTTAATTTTATTTTTTTAACAAAAGACCCTGCATATTCACTTTGCAGTTGGCCCCACAAATCATGAAGTTGGTCCTACCCCAGGAGACTCTATTTCAATTGGTCTGGGCTGTGCCTGGGCATCAGGATTTTGAAAATCCCGCAGGTGATCCTTATGTGCAGACATTGGAAATCTCTGTTCTAGAGCAGGGCTTCTCAGCGAGTCACTGCTGACATTTTGGGCCAGATAATTCCTGCAGGGGGCTGTTGTGTGCATTGTAGGATGTTCGCCACATCCCTGGTCTCTACCCACTAGATGCCGGTAGCATTACCCTCCCTCCAGTTGTGACAATAAGAAAAAGTCTCCAGACATTTGCCCTGAGATTTGGGGGGGATAGGGGAGGGCAAATTACCACTAATTAAAAACTACTGCCTAAGAGGATGGAAAAAAACAAAATCTCTTTTGGCTTAGTTGACTAAATCCATAGTCTACAAAACTGGGAAAAGTAGCTATTTCAACTGAACTTAAAAAAAAGAGTGTCTTTCAATCAGTATCAGAAAGGTTGACAGCCTTCTATGACGTTTTCGCATTTGCAAGATTTTGGGGACAAGTTTTAGACATTATCTTAAATTAAAATTAAGCAGGTGTTTGCTAAAAAGCTACTAAATTGCTCTGAGTAAAAAAGGAGTATACCAGAAAACATGCCACAACAACAACAAAATTATTTTAAGTGCCAGTAAGGCAAGAATTCACAGAGATCCAGGGCTACCATTTTCTCTGGATCGCATTTCTTTCTAGTCAACTCAAACCAAGAGAGCTATTAGAGCATGCTCTAAGGAGAATTACCTGCAGAGCCTAAAATTTCTTTCAATAAAATAGTGGATGTTTGCCAGGATCTTAAGTCAGTCAAGAGGCCAAGGCATAAGATAAAAAATAAGATCTTTCCTACTCGGAGGGAAAACAAAATATGCCAAACAAGACCTTCCTCCAAATGCTTGCTCACAGATTGGAAGTAGGGCAGAGGATGGAAATGCCAAGGCTAGCTTTAAAATCTACTTAGAAATCAAATCTATAATGCTTCAATCTTTCAAAAAGTCACTAAACGCAACTTTCCATCCTTCCTTCTTAGACTCAGTGTTCTCTCCCCAGGGAGATGCCTATGAATCCTGCCTTCAGTGAAAATTGCCTGAAATTGTACACTAATGGTTTGAAACCCCAAGGATGTTTATTATATTGTCTCTGTCATGCGCTTGGAGTTTGCTTTCTGAACAAATGTATTAAAGAGCAAACACAGTCTGGCGGTTAGTTTTCTTACTGAAACTGCTGAGATTTATGATTATGTTAGAGTCATACATGTGTACATATAAAGTTGACTTTATCTGAAGGCACTTTGTTATTCTTTCTATATCAGCTCATTATATTGGGATTAAAGCAATCCATTGTTAGCTGCAATTGGGTTGTCTCCCAGTGCATGGCGACCCCATGCACAATTGAATGGAACATTGCCTGGTCCTGCACCATTCCCATGATCGGTTATAGATCAGACCTTTATGATCCATAAGGTTTTCATTGGCTGGTTTTTTCAGAAGTAGATCACTAGGTCTTTCTTCTTAATCTGTCTTAGTCTAGAAGCTCCACTGAAATTTCCCCAGCATCATAGCAACACACAATCCACCACTGAGAAACGGGTGGTGGCTGTGCACGAGGTGTATTGGCCAGGAATTGAACCTGGGTATCCCCCATAGGTGAAAATTCTACCACTGGACCACCAATGCCCTGAAAGCAACCCATCATTCATATATATTATTAGAGTAACATTGTCCTTGCATGTATATATATTCCTTACCATCCCTGAAAGATGATAATTAAACAAAGTATATATGAAGCTTATTTACTCACTGTAGTAGTAATAGCCACCATGCATAGAGTATCTATCTATGTGCCAGACTCTCAATGTACCACTTTCAATGATATTTCATTTAATTCTCATTTCCACTCAA